ATAGGCTGAATGTAAACATGGCTATTGAGAATTATTAAAAAAACAAGTGGGAGAACTTTTCTGACAAACCAAAACTCAAACAGACAGTAAACAAGTAACATTGATAGATGTAGGTAGTGGGGCTGCTTCATTCATGCAGCCACTCTGTTTAAGCTTAGTAACAATTATGATATCACTGGTGTGTGAAATTTTATGGAACAGACACTCTCAAAATTATGTCCTCAACAACAAAGGATATTAAAGGGGGGCAGTAGTGGGCTGGAGGCTAGGGAACCAGCCTTGTGAACGGAAGGTCGCCGGTTTGATCCCCTTGACAGACAGTACGTGACTGAAGTGCCCTTGAGTGCCCACCTAACCCCCAACTGCTCCCCAGGCGCTGTGGATAGGGCTGCCCACCACCTCAGGCAAGTGTGCTCACCACCCCCTAGCGTGTGTGTTCACTAGTGTGCATGTATATCACTGCACGGATGGGTTAAATGTGGAGGTCTAATTCGTCTGTGTGCAAACACAGTTGGCTAATGGTTCTGAATTCAATTCAATATATACCTTTCATGACAAAAGTATCTGGCACTAGTGTGTGAGATAGGGTTCAAGCAATAACAGTGGAAAATGTAAAACGCAATACACAAATAGTGCTACTATTCATTAGTAATGAGTGGAAAACATGCCAAACAGAAAAGCAGGGCCTTCATAACATTGTTCTCACGTTGCTTTATGTCTTTAATAAAAAGCAGTTTACTTTTTAAGATTTCAATACTAAATTTGTGTCAGAAAAGACTGTAACTCATTTTGAAAAGCAATCCATACACCTCCACTGTATTTCACTGCCACCAGCGTTTCTATCTTCATTTAAAACAATGGAACATTTAGACCTTAGATGTTTTAGAGGCAGACAAAAGTTACTATATGTTGATGGAAGATTACAAAAACACAAGAATTTTGCCTCTTAAGTGATATCATGTATGAATCATGCTTAATATGACCAGGGACACTGGACAACTATAATAATAATAATAATAATAATAATAATAATAATAATAAAATAAAAAAAGATAAAAAGATAAGATTAGAGAAAGTTTAGTTTGATTTCAGGTAGACTTTAAATCTGTTACAGGTCTCACTGCTGTCATCAGTCAAGGAGTCTTTAGGATGCAACGAGCGAGCAGTGATCAAAAGCGACCACTCAGAGCCTCCGCTCACCCTCAGAGTGCTGCGTTCAGCACTGAGACCGATCTCTATACACCGCAATAAGACCAATCTCAGCTTCTGGAATTGCACTGTGATAGTTACCAACAAAACAAACAATCAAAGCAAAACAGCACTGGCTCATTTCAAAGTAACATTGACTACAGAAGAGTATAAAGCCTTTCATTAATATTCCCACTTCTGCACAAAGGCACAGAGAATACTGATGCCTGTTGCCAGACCTGTGAGATGTGGTTCTGCATTAGCAAGAGGAAGAGTTAAATATTTAGCTGGTTTTCTCCACTTGGTGAGGTAAAGGTAGCTGCTGGCCCTAAAAGACTACTCTGTAGGAAAGTCTTGTATATCCAAAATGGTAACTTTACAATAGCAGTAACATAAATTATTAATATATTAAGAAAACATGAATAATTAAAAAAAAAGGTCTTTTTCTTCATGAAATGCTCAGACAATGGATAAAAATGGTATAAAAGGATGAAAATTGAACTGGAGGTTTTCTTATAACAGTGACAGTTTACTGGAGTCTGTGGTAGAGGGACAGTGAGAGAGAGTGTGAGAGAGAGACCACCACATACCAGATGCGCTGTGTTGCGTAGCGTGACACAGCAGAGTACTGCTATGGCAGTGAGACCACCGATAAACGTCAAGATCAAGTTCATTTTTATTCTACTCATATAAATGTAATTAAATAAAACTTTCAACATCATTTGTCACGTTTGGCATCGTCTATTTCAAGCTGAAATATATGAGGTGAATAAAACTAGGCTGTAACATTAGCTGAGGTAACCTACCATTAGCATTTATCTGTTTGTCTAAAAGACTTTCTGCCTTTCTCTGTGTAAATGTCAAGCTAAATGTGATCCACTGTGGCTTTCTTTAGTCTCAATATGGCTTTAATTTAACATTGTAATTAGAGATGCATCAACACTGATACTGGTATCACAAAAAGGACTGATGACATGATCATTTACTCGTTACTTGTATTCATAAAAAATGCACCAATACCAACATCTGACGCCACCTGATATAATGTGATGTAAGCCTAGTGTATGCTGCCACACCAATGAACAAACACCTCAAGCTGACAGTGAAGGAGAAGTACTGCTGATGCAGTGGCAGTCAGACACAAAGTTGTTGTTCAGTTTAAACATTCCGCCTTGGCATATTTCAGCCAGACACACACTGTGATTTTAGCCCACTTTTAAACACACGCAAACACAATCACAACCACTTTCCTAGGGCGGACACACATAGGCTAGTAAAGGCGAAAAAAACGACATTCGCTGAACCAAAACCTGTATATGCCTACTTTACTCTGTTTGACTGAACAGAATTGCAAAGTATACACTTTAAAGTAGAGAGTGAGTTTATTGTCCATGTACATCACTGCCTGCTTTTAGTTTCAGTGCCCAGTGTGGCACAAGTTAGCAAAGCTCAGCTGTTGCTGTAGTTCAGTTTCTCAGCATGTTTGCTCAGCACTCAGGTGCACAGGTGTGTTATACTGAATGAAACAGTTAATAATTGACTACATGATTGTCCACAGGCAGAGCTGAGAAGGGTGCATATTAAGTAACACGTCAATGAGATTGAGTATTTTTGTACAGTGTGAGCATATAAATCATAGGCTTTGTTCGTACACAGTGGTCTATTGAAAAATACAGTGTCACTGAGGATCAAGACTTTTGAAAACACAGTGTATGCTTGGCTTTAGAAGACATTCAACTACTGTTTAACGTGCCAATCAAAAGACTCAAACAAGACAATAAAACTCAACAAGTTACAGTTTCAGTATCAGCAAGTACTAAATAAAAATATGTACTCATACTCAGTCTGAAAAAAAAAGGTATCGAAGCATCTCTAGCAGTAATAGTAAACTGCTAAGTGGCGTGTGGTGATGCACTGAGAAACTGAACAGTGCTCAGAGTCACTGCCGGGCATTAATGCTGAATGTGCGCACCAGTGTGCCTACCTTCATTAAAAACAACAGAATATTTGGACGCAGCACAGCACATCCGGTGTGTGATGAATGATACAATAAAGAGACAGAATGAGTGTGTCATAAGAGAGAGAGGGAGAGACAGCATAAGAGAGTAAGTGAGAAAGGGGGGGGGGTATACAAGCAAGATGGTAAAGAGAGACAGAGAAAGAACAGGCGAGAGAGAGAAGGAGGAAGAGAGAGAGCAAGACAGGAATGAGATCAAAAGTGTGTAATAGAGAAAGAGAGAGAGGGAGAGAGACGGAAAGAGGGGGAAATTGTCTTAATTCATTAGCTTAATCTTTTCTCATTTTTAATTATTTTAATTATCGTTATTTCACTGTAATTATCACTATTACTATCACTAATTCTGTAACTGATATTAGTTCTACAAAGTATGTTTAACAGGTTGTCAACACTGTACTTGAGACAGTCATGCCAGTAAAACTCAAACTTTGAATAGAATTAAAAAATGAGAGACAGCAAGTGAGGGAGAGTAAGAGAGAGGCAGAAAGATAGGAGAAAGAAAGAGAGAGATAGCATATAAGGGAAAGAGAGACGTATGAAGAGAGTATAAAGAAGAGTGAGAAAAGAGAGAGATAAAGAGAGCGAGAGAAAGAGACAGAAAGTATAAGAGAAAGAGAGAGAGTACATATAAGAGAGAGAGAGAGTATAAGAGAAATAGAGAGAGAGAAAGAGAGAGAGAGTATAAGAGAGACAGAGAGAGAGTATAAGAGAGAGAGAGAGTATAAAAGAGATAGAGAGAGAGAAAGAGAGAGAGAGTATAAGAGAGATAGAGAGAGAGTATAAGAGAGAGAGAGAGAGAGAGAGAGAGAGAGAGAGAGAGAGCGATCATCAGGCTCTTTGCCTCTCCATTGTTTAACCTCTAATGAACTCTGTCCTACAGATCTGCCCACAGAAACTCACAGAGCAGCAAAATAGTTCACAAAGCAAAGCAACAGCTTTCAGCCTTCAGATCAGACAAATCTGTGCCTTCTCAGCCTTCTCTCTCTCACTCTCTCTCAACAACACTCAGTTCAGTCAGCACTAACTGCATCCAGGAAGCAGACCTTGCCCAGCGATGCCCCGCAGCTGGATAGAGTCAAGAGCTTGCCTGGCCTCTCTCTGGTGATAATCATCTGGCCAGCTGCAGCGAGCCAAAGCATCCTTCATCTTCACATCCATGGCCTTCAGTCAAGACATCAAACTTGCCATAGCTTGCACAGAGGCCAGATAAGCATTTAGCAGTTTAGCACTGCTTTGTTTTTTAGTCAAAGCTTAGCTTAGCTTACACAGAGGGCAGGTCTGAATTTAGCATTTCAGTGTTGCTACACTTTCACATGATATACTGACACAGTTTATTTAATAAAGCACATCAAATGAGCCTAAACATATGCCAATGCTGGCAACGCCATCTGCTATTAGCTGATCATGTTAGTCCGAAACCGATGAGTTCTCTTCCCCGTCAGACGTGGAAGCATGCCAAGCAGAGAAATATTGAGAGGGCGACTACGTCAGCGTCACTTTGCATTGCTTTCAGAGCCAAAATGTAGATTATGAATATGTATACGAGGGGCTGCCAAATAGAAATAGCTGCAGCTGCAAGAAGTGGGTGTACTAAGAGCTAAAATCAAATCAGTGCTCTACTGTAAAGCCATGTCACAGAATTAAACAGCAAAGTAACCATCAAGCTCCTTTCTGGAAACCAGGCAGTCTTCAGGCTCAAGGTCGCAACGTCACACAAAGCAGATTAGTCTTCATTCACTAATAGAGCAATGGTGATATGAGTGCACTGCCTGAGGGCTTTAGCTTAGGGGTTTACCTTTAAACCTCCGAACTCTGCAGCTGAGCCCCGATCCACTCCGGTGATGTAGATGCCCAGGGCATATTCCGCTCCCCCACGTATCATCAGACCCAATGGGCGCCCATCATCCAAGGAAATGTTGACCTGTACCCACACAATAAAGCAATAGTTCAGCAAAAAATAATCAAACATGTATAGTTTTCCCCTTAAGTTACCCCCCTGCTAAACATGCTCGAGTGAGTGAGTTATGCACAAGTGAGTGAGTTACACCTGCATACTTTACATATAAAAAAAGAGGTGTTTTATGTCGTTATAGTGGAGGTGTCCTGGACTTCAGTTGTAGATGCCTGTGGGAAACCATTAAGTTTTATATTTTCATAATTTCACAAGTCATCTGAACAATCAAAACATTATTTCTTTAACAATATCATCTGCTAGTGTGCTGTATCAATCAAACACTGCATTCCATTGCTGTTGTTCCGGTTGCTACCTCAGTGACTGCTATGCTCATATATGCTAGGCCAGGGGTCACAACCCAAATGTTAAGAAGAGTCATTTTGTCCTTTTAGCCAAAATCAATCCGCCTTGGGAGCCACAACATTTTGTCCTTTTTATTGAAGTAACTTTTTACCGTCTTGGCTGTAAGTATGTCTCAGTATGTGTTAATGTCCTAGTATAGGCTGACAAATGTGAAATATATAAAAATCCAGACTTACTTGGATCTACTTTAAGCTTTAGCTTAGCTATAGCTGCTTTTCTCGCATCACAGGCAACTTTCAGTACAGTAGATTCTTGTAAAACATCTCTTAATGTTCATGTTTTTATGAGGCTGAAGTCAGCTTCTTGTTCACCAGCTTCTTGTTCGAATTTTCCTGTTCCACCTTAAATGGTGCCTGAGGTGCCAAAATGTAACTGCTGCACCATTTAAGGTTGACTGTTTCTTGTTGCATATTACACATATTGGAAAACCAGCTGGAGTGCTTATAAAGTACAAATAATTATGTCCATTTTTCTCTAAATTATCAACATTTTAAATCTCTCTTTTCTTTGCTCTTTCATTAGCTACTTGCTGGGTGAGATTTTTATCTGCATTGCTGTGTGACTAGCAGTCTGTATTGTTTGTGTTCCTTTGTGTTCCTGTGTTGCACTGTGATCCTGGAGGAATGTTGTTTCATTTCACTGTGCACTTGCATATAGCTGAAATGACAATAAAATCTCTTGAACTTGAACTTGAGTTTGGTGTGCCCGCCTTTAGTAGGTCTAGTACATTTACATACTGTTTATGTGGCTGTCTTTTGTGCCAAGCACTCCAAGTTAAACTTGAAGAGGTCAAGTAGTCCTGCTCCTTAAGTGTTTTTTTTCTGTCCTGACCTATCATATCAAAAGGAAAACAAGCCTTAAATGACAGTTGCAGTCACTGAGTACCCAGTTTAATTTAACTGATAATAAAAAAAAAAATAGCTTTTTTAGTAAAGCTTGTTTTACCAGCAGCACCACACTTTACAGAGTGTGATGGAGGGAGTGGCAGAGCTTTCTGCCTGTACATATCAAAACAACTTCCAGCCAGCACAGCTAGTGCACACAGAAGTAGCAGTCAAAATAATGCAGTGTTAACCCCTATAAAACTAAACTGCTGAAGACTGAACGGGGGCTAAAGTGGGGCTAAACTTCTGTAGACTGAGCAGGGGCTTAACTCAGGCTAAACTAGTCTAGACTGAATGGGGGCTAAACTGCAGCTAACCTATGGTAGACTGAACAGCAGCCACACTGGGGCTAAACTACTGTGGACTGGATGGGGGCTAAACTACTCTAGACTTAGTAGGAACTAAGCTGGGGCTAAACTACCCTAGAGTGAGTAGGGACTAAACTGGGGCTAAACTACTCTAGAGGGAGTAGGGACTAAACTGGGGCTAAACTACTCTAGAGTGATTAGGGACTGAACTGGGGCTAAACGTCTGTTGACTAAATGGGGCCTAAGATAGGGCCAAGCTACTGTAGACTGGATGGGGCTAAACTACTGTCAACTGAACAAAGGGCTAAACTACTGTAGACTGGAACGGGGTAAACTGGGGCTAAACTACTGTAGACTGAAAGGGGTTAAACTGGGGCGAAACTACAGTAGGCCGAATGGGGGCTAACCTGGGGCTGGACTACTGCAGACTAAACAAGGGCTAAACTGGGGCTAGACTACTGAAGACAGAATGGGCAGATGTGCAAAAATATCGTTTTTTATGACATCATGAAAACAATGAATTCTAAATAGATGATAGATAAATAGATCTAAATAAATGTTTTTGCAACTTCGTTTCCATATATGGACTCAATAGACTGGAGAGTGAATAATAAATAATTTCTTTTCATTCTACACCCAACACTTTTCATCCAGAAAGAAGGGAACAGTTGGTTCTCTATGATACGGACTCTTTAATGTGATTTTATATGTGGTCTCGTGTCTTACAGTATTAGAAACTGAATCAGCAAGTCTACTTAAGATTACTCAACAATATGACGTGCAAATTTCAAGCGCAAGACTCCAAACATGATTCAGATGATCAATAATTTGAGGTAATATGAGGTTCTACAACTGCAGCAAGTAGTTGATTCAAAATAAAACAAGTTTCAATCATTCGGGTGATTACACTTTGCCATTTCACTTTTACTACAGAGCTTTCATGTATCAATATTAGCACACTCTGATTGGTTACTCTGACAGGCAACCAATGAGGGGAGAACCGCTAATGTATTACTAACAACCTTTTAGCTCAGCAACTTCTAAAGTGACGGCTGAAGAAGTTTCCAGAAAGCCAGACAGTAAACATAAACATTTAGAGATTCATGTGTGGTGCCTGTATGATGAATGGTTATAGATCTGACTGGCTCAGATGGGAAATAAATCGTGTTGACAGACAGAAAGGGTTGCAGGCGAACAGAGCCAAGGCGGAGTGTGGACTCATATCAGCCAGCTCCCTCTGGGCAAACGCAGCATATCCCACACCTCAGTGAATTAGCTCTCCTGTTAGCCTATTCAAACGCCTTCTTCCAAACAGACTACTTCACTGTATCTTTCAATTACAACTGTCTCAAATCATATGAAGACTTGGAAAAAGCCTTCTTTGGAAAATGGTTTGTAATTGGATTCACTCATGTCCTGCTGTTTGATTTCGGAAGCAGGCATTTGTGTTTGGAAGGACTGGGGTGTATTCACCTAGTGTAAGCAGTGGGGCTTAAAGCGATAGTTTGGCAAAGAATAAACGTACATGTTTAATGCCTGTAGTCTATCTTGTTTGACTGTTACTAGAGCTGTGAGGCTATTGTGGCTAACAAGTAATATAAAAAAGTAGAAAATACAAATTTTAGGGGACTTAAAATGAGATTAATGATGCAAATGTCCAGTGTGCGGTTCAAATAACTGTACTGTTTGTAGGAGCTGCCCGACAACATTTTGTAAACATGTTGAAGGGATAGTTCTTTTGCTGATGTTTCTTCCAGAGGCACTTTGGAACTCTTTAGTCAGTAATTCAACAGAGGATAGGCACTGTGCGCTTCAGCACTCGCCGGCCCCACTCTGTGAGTTTGCATGGGCTATCTCTTAATGGCCAAGCTGCTGTTGCTCTTAGGTGCTTTCATTTCACAATAATAGCACTTACAGTTGACAGGCGCAGATCTAGCAGGACAGAAATTTCACAACCTACTTGCGGCAGAGGTGGCATCCTTATGACAGTGCTACATTTAAAGTCACTGAGCTCATCAGTACAATCCATTCTACTGCCAGTGTTTGTCTGCACTGAGACTGCAAGGCTATGTGCTTAATTTTATCCACCTGTTAGCAATGGGTGTGGCTAAAACACCTGAACCCAATACTTTTGTCTATATAGTGTATATATGATCTCATTTACATGTAGATTTTGACTGGCTCCTGCCTGAGACACCAGTGAAAAGACTGCAGAGTTAAGACACCAGTAAGCTAATCACCACCATGGTGACTTTATGAATAGCTCATGAACAGCCCAATGTATCATACATTGCCAGAAACCACATAAGCAAGTCTAATTGAGATTACTTAACAACTCAGTGTGATATGAGGCAAGTATGTGATGATTTGGACAGGTTTGCACAATGCTAATTGCTGCACATAAGTTTCCATTACTTGTTAGCTCCTCATAGCTCCAGTGCAAAACTAAAGAAGAAAACTTTGGACAACAAACATGTCTTGGCTGGGTACATTTGAGGTAGAGGAAATGTGAAACATGGTATCAGGGAGGGTCCCTGACCTACATACACTACTATTATGGAAAAATAAGAATTTTGTCTTTAACAGTATGGGATTGTGAATTAGGGACAGTTTGGCCAAAATGAAAAGATTACTCTCTTGTACACAAGCTTACTCGCATCCTAGAGCAATGCTGTGGTCTCTAGAGTAAGACTGTCTGATTTAAAGACTACTTAAAGGTAGGTGGAACCTTTGAAAAACTACAACTGGGTGGATTTTTGGGGGTGAGCGTTTGCTTTTTCAGTTAGCAGGTAAACACAGAAAGGCTTATTGCTAACGTTAATGCTAGGAGGTTGAAGTGAGCACTAAGTTAAGTATTTACTGTAATGTATTGTACTGCACTTATTGAAATGGAGTGCACTGCGCTTTGTTTAAGTCTGTTTCTTTTCTCTAGGTATCAACATGAGTTTTTGTTTCTAGCAATGTCTGAGCTCAGGACTAGCTTTCTCTCTAACCTATTCATAACTAGCAAAGATACTTTCTCTGAGTATATTTACATTTATGGCATTTGGCAGATGTTCTTATCCAGAGCGACTTACAATTTGATCATTTTTACACAGGTAGGCGAAGGTAGTGTTAGGAGTCTTGCACAAGAACTCTTATTGGTATATTGTAGGGTGTAGGTCAGGGATTGAACCCCAGTCTACACCGTAGATGGCAGAGGTGTTAGCCATTACATCATACCAACCACTACAGTTGTAGACAACAAAGCACTTTTTTTTAAGTCGCTCTGGATAAGAGCGTCTACTAAATGCTGTAAATGTATTACTGTGGTAACAGTAATTGGAGTAAATGGAGAGAATGGATTACTCAAACAACAGAAATAATCTGTCAGATGAGGAGGACAACATGCTAAAAGCTAAAGTTAGCAAGTTTGCTGGCTATTTAGATACCTTACCACAGTTTCCTCTGGCTGATAGGGTAAAATACTAGTTCCTATCCATTTTATGCAGAGTAAAGATAGAATCACTGTTTTCTTTATAATTTAGTTCAACAACTGAGTAAAAAGTTGCACTAATGCATAAGGCATGATGAACAAAAAAATGAAAATGATATAAAGTTGTGAATTTCGTCTGGTGAGGCTAAGGAGTATAATGCTGAGCTCAAAAGTACTGCAAAAGGTCGAAAATTTCAATTTTGATTTCAGGTTGACTTTAACAATTTTAATAAACTTTTACTTTTACTCATTTATAAGAGAAGTTTAAAATATGTGCATGTGTGCATCACATTGATGACTGCTCTAAATTTTCCAGCAGAGAGTACACCATTAGAAATAAATGTACTGTACAGGTACATTTTTCATTCATCAACTACAAACAATGTATTTGTTCCCCTTAAAGGTACAACAGTGGTTTTAAGGTCCAGTTGTGTCTAATGTTTTAAAACAGAACAATAAAATAAAAAGCCTGCAGACGAAACAGGGCATGTGGAACTCCATGGAATTTCCATGGATTATGGTACAATTATGTTCCCTGACTAAAGGTACTGAGATGTACCCTTGAGGGTACCACCCCAGTGACAAGAGGGGCACTGCCCCAGTGACAGTTTCACACCTTTTTTCGGAGAGTGTACATACTCTGCATATATGCAGTGCATTAGCTCTTTATGACACATTTCACAGCTAGTCACACACTCACCCTCCTCTCTGCCCCCTGGTGTGGTGTGTGTGCGTGTCCACGTCGCTGGCTGTCGGTGAGTCGCCCTCCTCCGTTGACATGCTCCACTAGGTCTGGGGGCGGGGAAATGCTGCGGCCTTGAGGGTCCACCCATGTGTAAACGTGATTGGTCACGTAGCCCCCGGGGATCCGACCCATCGAACAGACGGACATCGAGAGCTTCTTACAGCCTTTCAACACCTGCAACAGACCAAAAGTAGAGTGGTAAGAGTATAAAAATGCTTTTAATTCATATTATTCCTTCTAATCTCGTATTCTTGTAATTTTTTGTATGAGTGGTTAGATAAGGATTGTATTTCTTTTTTTGCATTTATTCCATGAATATATACCATCAAGCAGACATTATACAAGAATACACATTCAGTATTGCAAAAAAAACTTAGTGAGAAATAAAATCAAGTTATTTAAAATAGGAGGACAGAAAGAAAAATAGTTGTAATGAGAGCAATTACTGAAGTTTCATCATTCCACTGCACATCCTGAGCTAACGTCTCACTGTTTATGCAGTCGTCATAAATCACAGCACATAGTGGGCACATTCATTCCATCCATCAGTGTGCACTAATTACCACTCTTCACCCAGCTTTAATTTCAGTAAATGTTATTATCACATTCAGCCCGAACACACTTTGTGCAGGATGAAGTAATTTACTCTATGTTCCTATAAAAACTGGTACAGATCTTTGACATCAAAATTTTACAAATGGAATTACATCCAATTCAACTGTAACTGTCAAATTCAATGACAGTTGGAGGGTTTCTGTTGGAGATATCTGACATAGTGACTGTGGTGGTCCCCCCTACCATGTTGGTCCACCTGACAACATGGTTGCTGTTTCATTGGCTGAAATTATCAACATGGTCATAAACATTTTTCACATGAAAGTCAAATGAACTAAAACATTTTAATCATTATGAAGGAACAGCTTTTTGATTGCTATTTATAAAATACTAGGTAACGTATATTAGTTTGCTACCAAATGGGGGACCAATTGACCAAGGTACAGTTCAGATACCAGCAGTTAGCTACTTTCAATTTATAGAAAGATAGTGACACTTAAGGCTGATTCATTTAAGAGGGACAAGGTGTAGTTGGAGTAAATGTTAGCTAAACAAACAGCTTGTGTCCACGATTAATTTACATACATATAACCACAGCCACTGTGCCCCATCTTTAAAGCTACACTTTTTACGTTTTTGGAATTCAGAGAATTCCTCTGGTGGAAATGTGTAATTGCGTGCAATGTGCAGAAGAACATTTTGTAATGCTGTTTGTGCTTTGGACCCCTTCCCCGAGCAGATGAATCTGATTGTGACTTTTAAACTAGGACTACTATTTCAGGCTTTACAGGGACCAGGGCACAAACACCACTTGGTAAAGCTGCTTCTTTCAGTTTTAACAAAATAACATATACAATACAGCTTTAAATAATATATATGGTATTTTCATGTGAGTACATTAGCCAAAGTAAATCACTTTTAACACTTCATTAATCATTAATAAGCAGTTATAACACATTAATAAAGGGCACAATTGAGCTGTTACATCTGATGAATATGAATATTTGATGAAGCTTACAGGTTTAACATTAACTAATGAAAAATACATCACGTCAAACATCGAAATCTGATTTTTAACTATATGAATAAATGAGCGTTCACTATTAGGCAAACAAAAGGTCACTGTTGCCCTTTTTATGTATGTGTTGTAAATGCTTATTAATGATTTTAAGGTCTTTAAAACTTAATTAACGACCATAAACAAACTCATTTTAAACTATGCATGAATGTTTTATAAAGGCATTCTTATTTTAAAGTGGTAACCAAATGTTTAATTTCCAGTCCTGCCTTCCACTCAAGCCTATTTCACAAGAAGTTGTGACCGCAGATTAACAGGATAGGTGATTAGGTGACCACAGCCAGACAAAGCCAGACAATTCTATACAAGGCCTATACTTGGCTGGTAGGCCCTGGGAAAAGCCTTGTAACCTGATCCTCCTGCTATCTGTGTTACATTTATCCCTGAAAAAGATCAGCAGTCATCCATCTCCTGTTTTATATGATAGCTTCATAGGGAGAGAGGATTTTTTTCTGCTACACTGGAAACACAAACATCTCCCCATGCTCAGCGGATGAAGCTAACAGCTGTCTAACACGCTTGTCTTTTGTTGAAGATGGGATCACTCAAGCTTGTATTGACTCTGAGCCCCTGGGAGAGAGCGAGAGAAGGTGAAGAGAAGAGAGAGAGGAGCTGAAAGAGTACCATGACTCAGAGCTAGCCGTGTATCAATAGCACTAACACAAAAAGCCACTGGAACGCACCTGAATCTCTTGTTACTCTGACTGACTGACACTGACTCGCTGAAGAACGCTGCCAGAGGCACTTGCTGAAATCACTTATCCACGGAGAACCCAGTATTCCCTAGATCACAGAGGTGTTTGATCCCAACCCAGACGTTTACATAAATTGGCTGAGTTGTTTGAGTACATTGAGTACATGTAGCAGACTATCTGAAGAAATAGGTGCTGACACAACCAGACACAGAAACACTCCTTAACACAATGTCACAGTCTGAGCTTATTGTTATGATGGTTTGAGATTCTCTGGGAACTGTTTTTGGCTTTCACTGCTTGCATATTAAGCAAGGTGCTCTAGATAAGTGTGTCTTCTAAATGAATAAATGTAAATGCAAATGAGTTGCCAGTCTATTAGGCACATTGGGCCTTGTGTTTACATTAGGGGTGAACAATTTTGTGTGAAAAAATTTACTCTAGGCTTTCCAGAAGTCCCAAATACTTCACTGACTTCAAGCTACTGCTTGGAGTAGTCTAACTAGTGTGTTCAGTCAGATTTAGAAATGGAAAACAGCAGCAGCAGCTCTGCACCAAGACTATATATTGAAAGAGTCACTGTAAATGTACTACAAGGAAAAATACACTATATGGCCAAAAGTATGCGGACATCCCTCCTAACTATTGAGTTCAGGTTTTTCAGCTGCATCCATTACTAACAGGTATATAAACTCAAGCACATAGCCATGCAACCTCCATAGACAAACACTGCCAGTAGAAGGGGTTGTACTGAAGAGCTCAGTGACTTTAAACATGGCACTGTCATAGGATGCCACTTTTGCCAGATGTCAGCCCATGAAATTTCTTCCCTGTTAAATCTACCCCAGTCAACTGTATGTGCTATTATTGTGCAATGGAAGCATCTAGAAGCAACAACTCAGCCTCGAATTTATAGACACAGAGTAGGGGGCCGAGTGCTGAGGCATGTGGCACTTAAAAATCGCCTGTCCTCTGTTGCATCAGAGTTCTGTTCCAAACTGCTTCTGGAAGCAACATCAGCACAAGAACTGTGTGTTGGAAGCTTCATGAAATGGATTTCCATGGCTGAGCAGCTGCATTTAGACAAATGGCCACAAATTCCCACACACACTCCAAAATCTTACAGAAAGCCTTCCCAGAAGCATGGAGGCTGTTGTAGCCACAAAGAGGGAGCAGACCCAATATTACTGCACATGGTTTTGGAATGAGATGTCCAACAAGGTCAAATACATGCAATAGTCAGGTGTCCACATACTCTTGGCCATATAGTGTATATCGCTGTTGTTGGAAGAAAACCTCGTATCTCCAAAATGATAACAGGAGAAGGAAAAAACCTACTTTACTTTTAATGTAAGTCAATGGAACCAGACTTTTTTTCCAAGTAATTTTGGGTCATTTCTTTTAGCCCGTTCATCATGAAATACATACAATGTAAAGGCCAACAGGTATTTTCAAATTATGTCAAAAACTGAAAAACCTCAAAAATTGAGGTTTTCTTCCGATCAACAGCGATATCTTAATATGCCTGTTACAAGCTACAAATAAAACATGACCTCTATACTAAACCCTTTCAAACTGCCCACTATAACTCCATTTAAAATATGACAATTCAAATATTTTTAAAAAATCATTTCTTTTTGCATTCATATGTGAATCCATTTAACATTTCACACTAAAAACAAACTTTCTCAGTTCTCCATTATAGGTTAAAAAATAACTGGAACACTCCACAAGTCACTTGTTCAACAGGGAGCTGCATCAACAAAACTTCCTGAACATCAAGAAGAAAAGTACATGTTCTCATTCTCTTTCTTTGTTTTCAAAGATATTGCGATATTGATTGACCATATCATTGTTCATATCATTAGTTTGGATGCTTGTCAAGTGCTAATTACGTAGCCAACAAAGAAAACATATACAGAATGAAGTTTTGCTCCTGAGATATGTTTACACATTTTTGAATGGTTAAATTCATGTTTTCCTGGATTAAATGTGAAAAAAAACAATAAAAGTTCATGTGCGTTGATGTTAGCTTAACGACAACTTTCTACTAGAATCCCATAGAGACACTAACAGAAATTAGCATCAATGTAGAGGCCTAGTATTAGTACAGTTCTCTATTGCTATAGCTCATATTGCTCCTCATACAATTTGTTTTAGTCCTTCTCTAGCCTTTAATCAGTGGTCACTTTCTTACCACAGGACCATTGTTGGCTGGACATTTCTGGCTAGTGGACAATGAGATGAGTATGAAGTCCAGCTCCACTGTTGTATCTGATACATTCGCACCAACACAACATACTACCATGTCATTACTATGTTGGAGTCGCTGCTGTGCTGAGAATGGACCACCACCCAAATAATGTCTAGTCTGCAGGGGTTCTTTGGAGGTCCTTTTCCACTGATGGAGTAGAGGGGAGCTGACAAACTACGTAGCTACAGATATATAGTGTTTATGATAAAATGGCCAATGAGTGTAGGTAGGTAGATGTACCTAATAAACTGGTAACTCAATGTGTTACAGCCACCACAGGGTTTAGTACATATACAACCAAAGTAATTTGTGCTGTGAAATGCTAAACACAGTACTGTATCAGAGACTGAGTCATTTCCATAAATAAATACCACATTCAATAAGCAAATACCACCTTTCTTAGGTAAAGAGCAAGTTACAACATGAGCAGAATACCTGGTAGACTTGAGTCAATTGTAAATTTCCATGGATTTACGTAGTTATATGACAGAGATGGAGCTCTGCTAAAAATGCTCTACCGCTGAATCTATTCTCGTTGGATGAATGTAGAACGGCGTTATTCATGCCTTGATTTAACAGCACTCGTGGACCACTC